CTGTTATTCACTGACTCTTTGTGTGTTTGAGTTAAAGCGTGATGCTCATACATAAATATCATCTTGTTGTGTTTCCTGTCCAGCTGACCAGCTGTCAGGTGGAACCAAATAAACAAAGAAGCAGAGCGAACTCTTCCTGAACGAAGCAAACCAGCAGATCTACGCAGATTTGATTTCAGTGGAAGTTCCAGCTCGGTGAGAGCTGACGATGTTTTCTCCTTTACAGAGTGTGGAAGCTGCTGTACAGCAAATGAATGGATGAATATGAGTGTTTGACTCACCGAGGAGCAGAGACACAGGTGAAGTCTTCATGTTGTGGAGACGACGACTGACAGCAGAGTGACACCTTCAGCTTCACCACTTCCCTGTTAGCACCAGCAGCTTTGTCACAGTGAGGCCGAGCCGCTGCTCTGATGAACTCAAAGAGAAACTCAAAGCAAATGTTTTTATCTATCGGGGCCTTTTTTATTCATAATTTACATGCTTCAAATCTGCCACATATATTGGAAATATAGTATTAACTTTCACTTTTACGACACTCAGCTGTATATTTCTTACAAACATGATTTCACCCATCTCGACTGCTGTGACTGCCTCGTGGAAGTTAAATCATTGTTGTTCAAACGTTCTCAAACTAAACAGTAATAAAACTGAAGCTCTTGGTTACGACTGTAATCTGTCATATGTGTCGTCCTCTGCAGTATTTTGTCATATCAGTTTCATATTAATCACTCAAGCTGCCTCGTTCCACTCAAGCAGTACCAGTCGTCTGTCCTTTGGGGACATGAGCTGCAGAGCCACAGCTGGCAGGACCTGGATGTGCTGTGCAGCCATTTGTTTCTCCTTTTTAATTGCATCATTATCATTACATTTTACAGTCATTACAAAATTTCACTTTTCAAGCACGTTTCATGACAAACACTCACATTTCTCTCAGAAAAACACACTGTGTAAAAATGTATATTTGTTTGCGTACCTCTGTTTTGTCTTTCAGGCGTTGTGTATGATTTAAGTGTGCTTTGTTTTGTTGGAGTGGGGCTTTTCCTTCTTAACCCCTGTCCACTCCAGCACAATATTCAGATACCAATAAGAATATTAAATAAATCAAACATAACAAAGCACTCAGATTCAGCTGTCTCCAAAAAGAAAACCTCCAATCTCAGAGTAAAATGCTGAAAAACTAGTTGATGCATTTGTTACTGCTGGGCCTGTCCTGAAAATCCCTTGCTGTACCCAGAGAGGTAATTAAGTCTGCCCCCTCTCTTCCTGATATAAACAGGAAAGTTCCTGATCTGCAGATCTGTCTGTTCATTAAATCTGTGTTAAATTAAATGTATAAAACTGCTGAAGTTACAGCAGGAGTTCGAAGTATTGATCAGATTGAAATGAAGGAAGCAGCTCCATCGTAGACGACCTTTGTCAAGTTCAAGCTGCAGGGACTCAAACCAGCAGCAGGTTGATTTCTTCAGTTCCTCCTCCTGGTTTCTCTGGAGGAACTGGAAACAGGACACCTTCCTCACTTGCTGCCGCCATGACTCCACTGATTGGATTAAATGGGAGTGAATGAAGAAAGGAGGAAGCTGATGACTGTCTGTAAATGTTCCCACGGTGAGACCGACACAGTGAAACGTGTCCACAGGAGCTCTGCAGGTCTGTCCTCAGCTTCCTGTTTACACAGAGAAACTCGTCATTTCTTTCACTTTTTAATTTCTTCTGTGGCGTCTGTGGTTCCTTCACCTTCTGTAAAAAGGGGACAGTTGAGTGTGCAGTCATGGGGCAGGTCACTCGGATGGTGTGGCATTTACTGTCCTACCAACTTAAAAACAGACCTTATTAAAAGTCCACAATAATATTTCAAACTTTGCGGTTGGTTGAAAAAAACAAAACAAAACTGGATCTGAAACTTTGGGCCAAATTGTTAAACCGAAGCTCAGATAATAAAATACTTTAACCCCAAAATGTTTCTCGGTTTATTATCTATTGAATGGAACACTTCATGGTCCCACATCAAGGAAGCTCTGTCACACAAAGACTTCAGCTTCTCTCATCAGCGAACCACATGAGCAGCACCTGTTCTGATGTGGGTGAAAATAAACACTCGACTCTGGGAACAACAAACTCAGGTGACTTCACCACATACGTGCTTTTACATCTGACTGCTGCCCCAACACAGGGAATCGAAACATCCTCATCAATCAAAGTGAGTCTTCCTCAGCTCCTTTCTCCTACGAGGTGTAATTCTTGAAC